AAATTGTGTTAGAGACAATTTGTATGGCTTTGTGTGGCTTTATCCAGAGAAGATTGTGTAGAGAAAATTTGTATGGCTTTGTGTGGCTTTATCCAGAGAAGATTGTGTAGAGAAAATTTGTATGGCTTTGTGTGGCTTTATCCAGAGAAGATTGTGTAGAGAAAATTTGTATGGCTTTGTGTGGCTTTATCCAGAGAAGATTGTGTAGAGAAAATTTGTATGGCTTTGTGTGGCTTTATCCAGAGAAGATTGTGTAGAGAAAATTTGTATGGCTTTGTGTGGCTTTATCCAGAGAAATTGTGTTAGAGACAATTTGTATGGCTTTGTGTGGCTTTATCCAGAGAAAATTGTGTAGAGAAAATTTGTGGATAGAGTCAAAGAAAATTTCTCTGAGTTCACAAATTTCTCTAGCTCTATTCACAAAGAACTTCTCTGACTTTGTGTAATATGTAAGCCAATAATGCAATCTTTACTAACAAACCCACAAAATAATACTGAAGCAGTCAACAATCACAAATTTCAAATAAAGTTTTCTCCACTTAAATTTAGTTCTAACAAGAAATTCTCCATGAACAGAATAGTTTGTCTCTGCTCCGAATTCCAAAACTTACCAGATATTTGTGTGCTACAGCTACAATTTCTTTTGCAAAATGTAAACATCGGCCTCTTCATAGGCATATTCAGGGTGCAAATGCTCGTGTGGAACCTTCTAGATGTTGAGAAGAAGATGCCCGTTCAATTCAGAGAATTTCTCTGGTCTAAACCAGAGAAATTCTCTGGATTGAAACTAGAGATATTGTCTCTATTTGCAGCAGAGTTGTATTTTTATGAATAGTCCTTGGTGATCGTACATTGATCCAAGAAACCCTAGCCTTGGATGTGTCTTCACAATCTTAAATCAGATCTCATAATTGAGTTCGTGGGAGTGAGATGCCAGTTCGCAATGACTCTGGCCAGCCAAGATCAAGTTCATTGAAGCCTAGCCAATTGTGATCTGAGTTCACATTCAAGCTCATCCAATCTAATAAGAATTTCAGAAATAAACAGGGGTGGTGTTTGGGTCAGAAGAAAAAAAAAATACACATTTCTCAGATTTCTTAGCACTACATGAAAAATTGAATTACGGATATCAATTGAAGACTCAATAAAATAACAAGTACAAAGAATAAAACATTTTTAGATCAGAAAATTCAAATCTTCAATGGATCTACGAATATATAGAAAACCATATAGCAAAAAATTCACATAGATACAGATCTAAGCAACCACAAACATATACATATATATATATATATATAGATATATAGACATAGATATAGATAGATGGATAGAGTGAAAAGGCACTTACTCCTCTCCGTGGCGAAAGAGGTCTGGGCTCGAAATCTTTGAAAACCTTAGAAAATGGATGGAGGAGGAGTTTGTGTATGTATATATAGTGGTCGGTCCGAAGCTGGAGGCCTTTGTCAAATTATCCGACGAGGAAGAAAACCAAACTTTAAAATCTTGAATTCAAAGATCAGTCTCTGCGTTCTTTTCTCCAGGAAGATTAGATATGGAGGGAGATGTATGGGAATGTGTGATGGACCTTAGACATCACAAAATATTATTGTGGATCTCTCTCATTACTAAAAATGAGAGAGAGACTTTAAACTAATTTTTCCTAATATCTATATAGTGTAGTTTTGACCCTTCATTATATGCAGGGTTGTGGGATAGATTTCCAACAGCAAGGACAGTGCAACAAATGATGGAAACCATGGAGAGGATGATGGAAGACCCTTTTGTCTACACCAACGGGTGGCCGTCGCCGACATTAACTGAGACCGGCGAGTACAGCAGGGGAAGGACTCCATGGGAGATAAAGGAAGGAGAGGGAGAGTACAAGATGAGATTCGACATGCCCGGTATGACCAAAGATGATGTGAAGGTCTATGTTGAAGAGAAAATGTTGGTTGTCAAGGCTGAGAAAATGGCCAAGGACAGAAATGGCCAAGAAAGTGAGGTAGAAAATGAAGAGTGGTCTGTAAAGAGCCAAGGTAGGTATAGTAGTAGAGTTGCTTTAACTGAGAATGTTGAGTTTGAGAAGATTAAAGCTGAGGTTAAAGATGGGGTTTTGTATATAACTATACCTAAAGCTAGTGGCACTTCCAAGGTTTTGGACATTAATGTTCAACGAGTAGTTGAATGTATAATCAATTATTAGGGTTAATTTAGTGGTTAGATTTCCATGTTAGTGAGTTTAATATTTTCTCTCCTCCAATGTAGTGAAAAAGAGAGTAGTCTTTTCAATTTAGTATTTTGTTCTCTTTAAATATTTTGTGTTGGTTTCATTTTTATTTTGTTTTTCTAATTTTGTTTCTCATTGATTATTTAGGATGTTCATGCCTTATTTTATAATGAGTCCATGAAATTAACATTTTCAATGTATG